TTTCTTCTTTGAGAATCAGGTAGTCAAGGATCATTATTCATTTGAAGAAAAAATAGTGCGACCACTCTTTTTTTGTTTTTTGTTTTTCTTTTTTTCTTTTTTTTTCTTAAGCATATTCTATGTTAACACGTCAATCATCAGCACCACCAATAGGACAACGATCACCATCAAATAGTAAATTGATTATTTAATAATGTGAATAATAATAAAAATAAAAATGTTTATTTTTAAAAAGGTTTATCTCAATATCCTCCTCCATCATTATTAGCAACATATTCAAGTACAAATAGTGGTGGATCAAGTAATGGAAATAATAGTCGTTCAACAACACCATATTCCGGTGTAACACAAAATTCAACAATTGATATTAATTTAAATAGTTTATCTCAAACATCATTAATGCGTCGTTGTGGACAATCAATGCAAGTTCGAGCGAAATTTGGTTCATTAGGACCACAAAAATGTCAATTTAATGCTCCACATGGATTTTGTCTTGGAATTGATGAAGAAATAATTGTTGCTGATACAAATAATCATAGAATACAAATATTTGATAAAAGTGGTGAATATAAATATCAATTTGGTATGCCTGGAAAAGAAGAAGGACAATTATGGTATCCAAGAAAAGTTGCTGTTATTAGACAAACGGGAAAATTTGTTATTTGTGATAGAGGAAATGAAAGAAGTCGAATGCAAATATTTACTAGAAATGGACATTTTATAAGAAAAATTTCAATTCGTTATATTGATATTGTTGCTGGTTTAGCTATAACACAACAAGGTTTTTTCCTTTCCTTTTATTTTATTTTTTAATTATTTCTTGTTAATCAATGAAATTTATTTATTTAAGGAAATATAGTTGCTGTTGATTCTGTATCACCAACTGTTTTTTGTATAAGTGAATCTGGTGATCTTCTTAAATGGTTTGATTGTTCAGATTATATGAGAGAACCATCTGATATAGCCATATTTAATAATGAATATTTTGTTTGTGATTTTAAGGTATTTTATTTAATTATTTTTATTTTTATTTTTGTTTTTCATTAAGAAAACAATTTTATTTAAAATAATATCATTTTATATAATGAATAGAAATCGTTAAAATATTCAACTTCGACATATAAATAAAAAATGATAATATTAGTTTGTTTTTCTCATCAATTGATGATGAAAACTTTTTTCCTTTTCTCTAACTTCATTAAAAAGTTAAAAATAATGAAAATATATATATTATATGATAATAAATATTTTAAAAGAAATATTCACTAACATATAAATCAATATCAATCTAATATAGAAATTATTTCATTAAATTTCTACAATTTCTATAATGAATATTGAATAAAACATTTTTAAGTTCGATTTTTCTTTTCCATAGTTATATATTTTGTTTTCAATAAAATCTAAACGATATTTTTTATTGAATTTCTATATGAAATAGATAATATAGTTGAATTTTACTACGAAAAATAATAAAGACTCAGAAAATATTGACGAATATATATATATATTAAGTTGATAATAATCTTATTATTATTGTTGTAATAAAAGTTGAATATGTAATTGTTCGAGATAAATGAAATAAATCAGTTCTATTTCTATTGTATATCTATTGATTGATATGTTAAGTAAGAATGAAAATATTAAGAATTTTATTTGTACGATAACAATAGTTGATATTATTGAAAATGAATATTTAACTTGTTAATATAATAAGATAAGATTTTTTTAATTTGTAAAATGAAAAAAAAAAAGAAAATCTATTTGTTAAGGGTCATTGTGTTGTTGTATTCGATGAAGATGGAACATTTTTACGACGTATTGGTTCGGAAAGTGTAACCAATTTTCCAAATGGAATTGACATAAGTGATGCCGGTAAGAAAAAAAAAACGCATTAAATTAAAAAGTGAATATATAAATAAAAAAAAATGTGTTGACAGGTGATGTAATCATTGGTGATTCGCATGGAAATCGTTTTCATATAGCTGTATTTACACGTACAGGTGATTTTTTACAAGAATTTGATTGTCCATATGTTAAAGTATCACGTTGTTGTGGATTAAAAATAACATCAGATGGTTTTATAGTAACATTGGCAAAAAATAATCATCATGTACTTGTTTTAAATACACTTTATTTAACATAAATTTGTCATGTGTTTTTGTTTGTTTGTTTTTGTTTTTGTTTGTTGTTGAAAGTGAACAGTCGTGTGAGAAATGAACTATAAGAGGCTGGTCGCTGTGATATTCATATAAAATCTAACTAATCTATCTATGCGTTTGTTTTTGATGTTCTTTTTTTTTCTTTTTTTTTTTCTTCTTTGAGAATCAGGTAGTCAAGGATCATTATTCATTTGAAGAAAAAATAGTGCGACCACTCTTTTTTTGTTTTTTGTTTTTCTTTTTTTTCTTTTTTTTCGTTTTTTATTTTGTAGGTATCTTCTTTCTGTTTGTGTGTCAATCCCGGTTAAGGAATCTCGCTCAATCCTTACCCATTTATTCTATATTTTCTATTTTTTTTTGTTTGTTTTTTTTTCTAAACGCATTTTTTGTTTCGCATCATGATTGCCAGATATTAAATTGATTTTCTCTTATATATTGAAGACCATATGTGCTAGCCTCTTCCAACACCTTTTTTTTTTTTTGGTTTTTTTTCGTTTCGAGTTTTGTGATATGAGAGTGGTCAGCTCGTTTTTTTTTTCGATATTCTCTTTATCTTATTTCCCTGCTCTGTTTTTCTTTTGTGCTCGTTTTTTTTTCTTATGCTCTTGCTCTTGCTTGCGCGATTCATTTAAATACATATTAACACTTCACTCAAGGTGACAATGGAATTAAATATCTCGTTTTTTTTTTTTTTATTAAATCAATATTAATTTAAATATAATATTTTATTAAAGAATAGATCGATCATTTAATTTACACTAGATATTAACAAATCACAATAAAACTTTTTTTTTCTTTTTTTATTCAAATGAATTAAAAAAACTAAACATTTGAAAAATATTTATATTTAATGAAATATTGAATAAAACAAATTATTATTCAAATATGTAAACAATATCAAAGTATGATGTAATTAGAGTCTATTTGATATTCTCTATTAAATTCAATTGTTTAACCTTGATAAATCAATATTTAATAGAGATTACAACTTTAATGTTTATCAATAATTAAATGAATTTCATTCTGAATTGAATTTGAAAACATGTTTCTAATATAAGTATAAATCTGAAATGAATCTAAAAAAAGTTGATGTTTGAAAGTGTTTTCATCTGATTGAATACAATGAATTTATTATGGGATAATGAAAAACGAATTTGATTATTTTTTTTCCTAAGATAAAAACATAAAAAAAGAAAAAGAAAAAGAAATTAATTTTCAAAAATTGTTCTCATTTCTTTTCAGATGAAAGATTGTTTATCGATCAAACTATTTTCTTTATTATTTTTACAATTCAATAAAACGACAAACAAAATGAAATTTATTTTTAATATTATTTTTTTAAAATAATAATGAATACTTAAGAGTCAAATAATATAAAGATCATTTTATGTTTCAAATATTCGAAGATTAAAAAGTCAATTATTATTTATAAAAATAATATTTTTCTTCTTCAATATAATTTTTTCAATTTTGATACTATATTAATAAAATCATTTTTACAAATTCAATCAATAAGATTTTAATTCATTTTCGATAATATTTGTTTTGATCTATTTTTATTACTTATATAAACAATTAAATATAATAAAAAAACGAATTGATTATCGATTGAGACTAAGGAAAATAAATAAATTCATAAAAATTTATTCTTAACATTATTGTTAAAACAACTAAAATTCTTTTTAATTATAATAATTTACCACGAATAATTATTAGAACTTGAGTAACATTTGAACATCATTGTCAAATATAATATTACTAGCGGAAGTACCCGATAGTGATTGAGATAATGAGATTGGATATCATCTGCATGTTAGAAAACGACATTTTCTCGATCTTCTAAGGTTCTTAATCTGCAAGATAGTAACATACGCTTAGATTTTACCGTTTTCAACTTTTAGTAGTTAATATTTTAAAAATTCTTCAAAATTTTTTTCTATTTAATTTTTATTTATGAACTTTTTTAGTAAAACAATAANTATTGTAATTTTACTTGTAAAAATAGAAATATTTTCTTTTAAATTCTGATTTAAATATAGATTTGATTTTTATAATTTTATTGTTATTGTCCATAATTATTGATATTGATTATTTTAATAGTAATAACGTCGTTTTGAAAAGGTTTTGTTGAACTAAGAAATATTCAATAGATTTAAATAACGAAGATTAATTATTTAAATTATTAATCATAATTATTTTCACAAAACTCAATAATATTTAGATAAAACTTTATTTAATAATGATTGATGATTTGTTTTGAATATATTTTAAATTGTATACGATTTATTTATAATAATAGTCATTAGATGTTAAAGCATAAGAAAAAGAAAAAAGTATTTTTCAATGTAATATATATTCTAGTTCTATTTGCATAGTTGCTTGAAAATTATAGATTCATTTAATGTAATATGATTATCAATTTTTAGTAAAAAAAACTTCTTATTTATATAGAAGATGTCAAGACGAGAAATTCTATTATTTGGAATTTCATTTTAAAAAAACAAAATAAATCTCGGTAATTTCGTGTATAGAATTTCTAAATTATATATTAGATTATTATTAAAAGTGAGAAGAAAATAAAAATATGAATAAAAGACGAAAAATTCATTATAATTGTGAACAAGAAAAATTTTTGATAATGCATATTTTCTCATATGATAGACTAGAATTTATGAATATATTTTAACAAATAAAATAGATTAAGAATATATCGAACTATTTATATCTGTCAGAATTGTTAATTTATTGAATAAAACTTTATAAATATTTGTTTATTTAATTGATAGATAATAGAAAATAGATGAATAAATATATGTCGACAAAATATTATTAATAGTTATATAGATTTTTCTACTTAGATCTTTCAAAATTTATCAAAGATCATTTTTTATATTTTTATAAAATATAAAAAAATATTCGTTTAATATTGTTAATAATTCTTATATAATATGAAATGAAAGTAGTATTATTATTGAAGTATTTTTTTGTTTTTTTTTATTATTTTTCTCTTCGTATAAAGTAGATATATAATTAAAATATATTTAATAAATAAATTTATATAAATTAATTTTGATTTAGGTTTGTTGGAATGCTCGAAGCTGATGAAGCTTATTTCAAAGAACATGGTCAACCATTATTTAGTTCTCATATGCTTGATTTTTCCGAAGAAAGCAAAGAACACAATATTGCTGCATGCAAGAAATATTTAACACGTATGGCTCCAATGAAAATCTGGCTTGAAATGGAAATAGGTATAACCGGTGGAGAAGAAGATGGAGTTGATAATACAGGTGTTGATAATGCATCACTTTATACTCAACCAGAAGATATATGGGATATTCATCGAGAACTTTCATCTATTGCTCCTCATTTTTCAATTGCTGCTGCTTTTGGTAATGTTCATGGTGTTTATAAACCGGGAAATGTTCGACTTCATCCCGAATTACTTGCTAAACATCAATCATATGGTAAAGGAAAATTAAACACAAATGATGTTCATCCAGTGTTTCTTGTTTTTCATGGTGGTTCAGGTTCAACAAAAGATGAAATAAAAACAGCTGTTCAAAATGGTGTTGTTAAAATGAATATTGATACAGATACACAATATGCTTATTGGGAAGGTGTACTTAAATATTATAAAAAAAATGAAGCTAAACTTCAAGGTGTACTTGATGCTGAAGATAAACCAAATAAAAAATATTATGATCCAAGAGTTTGGTTACGTGAAGCAGAATTATCAATGAAAAAACGAGTACAAGAAGCATTCAATGATTTAGGTAGTGCTAATACATTATGAACAATTAAATTAAATTAACAGATTATTTTATTCAACGATCCTATAGAGTTTAATTATTACAATCTTAATTAGTTTACGAAAGGATCAATATCCATTATGACTTTTTTATCCAAAAAAAAAAAAAAAAAAAAAAGAAAAAAGCATAGAAAATATAATATCCTTTAGATTGTATCTCCCTTTATCATTTTGTCTACTGTTTTATTTAAAAATAAATAGATACCATCAAATGAAAAATACCAATATTATCACTAAAATAATTTATTCTTTTGATTTTATTTTCAATTATTTTCTAGTAGGATTATTTTAAAATCTTCTATTAATTCAAAAGTTAATCAATTTTTATTCTAATTGATCCTAATTGCAACAAAACATTGTTCGATAATTTTCTTAAGGATATTCTATAGGCAACTATTCTATTTCTATTAATTTTATTATATAAAAATCTATGAATTAAATAAATTTGTTCAAGTTAAACATAAAATAGAATACAGTTTTATAAAAATTTTAAAAAAAAGTATTATTCTTTAGTGAAACCAAACAAATATCAACGAACATTACATAGGATAGTTAGTTCATAAGTAGCATTACAATAAATAAGTTAAATATATTTTCATTGATTTAACCAAATAGTCTGACGTTTTGATTAGTTTAAGAAAATATTATTGTTAAGTATTATTGGTGATATTATCAAAGAAATTTTATCTTTTTATCAAATGAAAAAAAAAAACATTTAGAGAATTTCATAGATAATTTTTAGTTATTATCTAAGACTATAATAATAACAAAAGAAAAACAAATCTTATCAATTGTTTTATATTAATATACGCAGAAAGTTTTCAAAACTAAGTAGTCAGTTTAAATGCTTATATTCCATATATGAAAATTCTCAAGTTTTCTAACCGCTGACTTTCAACCTAGTTAATTTCAAAATTTTCTCTATGTGCATCAATATAGAAATATTCATAAAATTCCTTTTGCTTTGTTCTTATTGCAGTCTTACGAGGGAACATTCTCAATTTTTTATCGCCGATTGAAGTGATATTTTGCCCATAATCAGGACTCAATGAGACTAGGAAAAGCCTAAAAAGATTCATCCCCATAGACCTTTCTTCTCGAGTTATGACCATTTTACGAACTTTTCGGCTTAAGCCAAGCTATTCATAAAAAAGCCAAAAAGAAGGAATTGCCATCTGAAGTTTTGCCCATAAGTAGGTCTTATGATCTTTAGGAGATCCTGAAAGTTTCAGTCAAAATGGATGATTCCTTCTTGAGATATTGAAAATTCAAAAAAAACGATCATATGTCACAAAAAAAGTCATAAAAACGACTTTTCTTTAGTATTCTATATCTCGGGAAGGAATTATCCATTTTGACTGAAACTTTCAGGATCTCCTAAAGATCATAAGACCTACTTATGAGCAAAACTTCAGACGGCAATTCCTTCTTTTTGGCTTTTCTATGAATAGCTTGGCTTAAGCCGAAAAGTTCGTAAAATGGTCATAACTCGAGAAGGAAGGCCTATGGGGATGAATTCTTTTAGGCTTTTCCTAGCCTTATTGAGTCCTGCTTATGGGCAAAATATCACTTCGATCGGTGATTAACAATTAGGAATGTTCCCTCGTTAGATGACAACCAAGGGTGTTGATGTTGATCTTCCAATTAGCTCTATAGTCATACACAACCATCTCTTAACATTTTCTTCGTGTTGAGAGTAGAGTTCGTCAGATGCAAAATTTTTGAACCTATAACCAGACTTGATTAGATTCTGAACCAATCTAGCGGACTCTACCTGAAAGAACTCTTATCTCACTCGAATTACCAAGTATATTTATAAGAGAGACAAACAACAAGTGTTGACCAAAGAGCTTCTTACACATTTGTATCATCCTACACGCATCAAAACCATATATTGCAACTTATATTTGACGTGAATTTATAGATAAGCAGTTAGTTTCTTTTAAACATCGATGATAATATTTTGTATAGTGAATAATTTTCATTCTTATCTTATCATACGCCTTCTTTTCTATTTAAAAAAATATTTATATTGGTAGAAAAGAGCATTGTTGACTATTTATTCAAGCAAGAACAATGATTTTAAGAACAGTTAGTTGTGTATTTTTAAAAATAAATCAAGGATCTCAAAGTATACTATGTTTGCTACTATTTCTTTCAATAATTACATTCGTTCATTCGAGTGCATGGCCATCGTTTTCTGATGATCATTCAATTATACGTGCATTTAGACGTACAAAATCATTATCGTGCAACAATTCATGTAATGCGACTTGTCAAGAATGTATAAATGACCGATGTCAAACTCGAAATAACTCTTGTTACATTGGAAATAATTGCTACAAAGCCAACGAGTTACGTTTGAATGATACTACATCATGTTTACAATGCCAACCAGATATTAGCACAGATCAATGGAGCTTTAATCCTGCGTGTTCGGCTGGATCTTCTTGTTGGGACAAAATGTTTACAGCAATACACTATTGCTCTAACGAAACCATCATTGGCTTTTACCAGAATCATGCACAAGCAGTCGTTGACCTCTATAACTTTGATGAATGTGGACAGAATAGTAGGGCATGTCAAGCAGGATTCTTCTTGGATAAAACACGACGTATTCATTTGGCTTGTTGTGCTGGTCATTTTTGTCCGGAAGGCCAATTATGTATGATACCATGTCGACCTGGTTCATATTGTCCCACCGCATTGAAAGCGATTGATGGAATTTGTCAAAATGCTGTGTCATGTCCATATTATCCTCCAAAAAGTTATGATGTTTATGGATGTGGTGGATCGACATTCGAAGGATTCTGTCCAGCTGGTTCATTTTGTAAGATGTCAAATGAGAGTGAGTCATGTCCGAATAGTACAAGTTATTGTCCGACTGGTGTGCAAGAACCATTATCTTGTCCATCGAATTTCGTCTGTATAAATGGAAGAGCACGACGACAACGTCTTTTGACGAGTGTAATTATCGCTGTTGTTGTCATTATTGTTGTTTATGTTTTAGCAGTTGAAATCTTTCAATGGATTGTATTGAAAAAAAAGCTTTTAGGACAATACACTTTAGATGATATTTCGAAAGTGAGCGATTATTTCAAGAAACGACAAAAATCAAAATCGAAACCAACTTTCCAATTGAATATTCATCTTTATAGAGCTAGACTACGAAATGTTACACGTTTCGATCTAAAACGAAATGAAGGTTTTACAGGTCGTATAACGGCTGGACGATTAACGGCATTAATGGGTGGATCTGGTTGTGGTAAAAGTAGTTTATTAGAAACAATTCATGGTCGTCGAAGATTGCATCCAAAAGGCTTCATCAAATTTGGTGAACATGAACCATTAAGTAATGTGCTCACTGATTATATTGGATATGTGCCACAAGCAGACATAATGCATGAGGATCTAACTGTCTTCGAAACTGTTTATTATTCTGCACGAGCACGACGTCTAAATGATTCACAAAAAATTATCAAGAATGATGTTTGCTTTGTCTTGGAAAAATTAGGACTGGGATTCTTGCATAACAGCATGACAAAAACTCTATCAGGAGGTGAGTCAACTCGAAATTTACAACACTACAGTGATTAAGATATAATGATAAGTAATTATGTAAGAACAGTTGAAGAAGTCTTCGAATATTTATTCATGATGATTGATAATCATTGTCTACTTTATCTACGTTTCCTAGAGACACTATAGGAATATAAGATCATTGTTCATTTAAAATATCGGCATCTATTTTAGTCTATGAAACTTTATTGACTTTTCATGAGAATTAAATTGGAACCATGTAAATCATCACTTTAGTTTATCTTATTAAGGATTTATTTTTCATAGTCATATGATTATCATCAATCACTGATTTTTCTACCTGAATTTTATGTAAGACACGAAACTTCGTTGAACATTCGAATATTTTCACATATTTCTATTATTTCATCAGTCGAATTTTGATATATTTAGGACAAAGAAAACGAGTAAATGTCGCCATGGAAATTGTTGCGTGTCCAAAAGTTATTCTTTTAGATGAGCCAACATCAGGGTTGGATACCGTATCTTGTGATCATCTATTTGACTTATTACAGTTAATTAAATATAGTGAAGCTGGACCAGTAACGATAATAATGGTTATTCATCAACCAAGTCAGGAACTTTTTCATCAAATAGATGATATTTTCTTTTTAACTCCTCATTGTTGTTTGGCTTATCAAGGTCCACGAGATAAAGCAAAAGAATTTTTATCAGAAAAGATTTTTGGTGATTCAAGTCAAGTTCCATCATCCCGACACAACGATTGTGATACATGTTTTATTATGTTAACTGAAGCTCCAGACTATATTAAAAATCATACAATAGAAGATGAAATAATAAATCAACCATTAAATACATATTCATGGAAGAGAAGATGGTGTTTACCATTCTTTTATGTAATGTCACGTTCCATGAGACAGATTTATGTACGTGGTGCCATGGCTGAATCAGCCTATATGCTTGCCTATTTTTTGTTGGGTGCCTGTGTCGGTTATCTATTTGAGAATAAACAACAAGGCACATGTGACATTCAAGTATTGCCAACAATCTATTTCCTCATGAGTCTTTCATTTGGCATTTTAACATGTATATCAAGTCAACGTCTTTTTGGCATTGAAACAGCGAATAAAACTTTTGAACGAGAGAGTCGAAATTATTTTCATCCATTTCAATACTGGTTAGCAAAGAGTTTAGTTGATATATTTCGCATGATTTTTTATCCATTATTATTTCTGAGTATGCTTTACATTGAAGTTGTACCACGTGGTCCTTTTTCTTATTACCTTGGTATGATGATACTTCTTTCATTTGTTTGTTCTGGTATTGGTCAATTAACTTCTGTGATTTTTAATCGAACTGAATATGCGTATTTAGCTGGTACTATTGTTGCTCTTCTCTCTTGTTTATTATCAGGTTTCAGTCCGACAAAAGCTGATCTTGGTCAAGGAAAATTCATTGTTACTCTTTCTTTTTCACGACATGTGCAACGTGTGTTATTTCGTCATGAAACATCATTTTATGTTAAATCATTCAATGTCAATGAAACTCATATATGGTCTAGTCAAGTCAAGTTTCTTGAAAAAAATTTCTCATTCAACGACAGTGAGAATCCATTTTTTTGGCTCATTTTCATTGGATTCGTTTTGCGTGCCATTACTTTTTTATTTCTATACGCAAAATCGGAATATCGTTCTACAGCTCGATTTCGTGTAACTCATATTGGTCCTACTATTCAAAGTTTCTTTCGTTGTGAGCCTTGTCGCGATAAGGCTTCTCGAGATGAGAACTATCAATTATAATAATAATAATCCTAACTATTACATGACTTTTCTCAATTTCTGTTTTTCACTGTCGCTTGATATTAGTTATATCATCGAAGTTATCAATCAGTTTTACAGGAAGACATACTTTAATTAATTTATGCTTTTATTACATCAATATCGACTAGAATTTATTATTTTCATGCTAAACATACAAATACAAGTATCAGTTGATTGATTTAATAATTATGGAAGAGATAAATAAAGAATTATGATAATTAATAAGATGAGAGATAATATGAAAATTCCTATGGACAATGTTGAATTTAACTTGTCTCTTTTGAAGTTCATCGAGATCTCTAACTGTGTGTCTATCTATTGACTTTTTTTTTTAGAAATCAATTCATTTTGAAAATATAGATTTCGTTGAATGAGCAACTTATATTAAAGTTCCATCACTATTTATTCTTGATACAATTTTTTAGTTTTAGATTTTCTTACCTAAAAACATAGTAGAAGTTACAACAGTTACGTACATCAATGATCATCATCAGATTTAAAAACTGCAATCATACTAATGATCATATTCGTTAGATTATTAAAGATTTCAAATTCATATTGACAATAATTCTACAATAGTGAACACATCTGATCTTGTTGGTATTTGTTATTCAATATTATCTTATGATCGTAAATCAAGAAAAGATCGAATGACTAATAAGAAGTTCTTTAAAATGAAGTTATTTTCGTTATGTTGATTAATATTTGAGAATGACAAGTTCTATTATATCTAACTGTATGTTAATGGAATAAACTTCAATTGAAATAACTGATTATTGATTACAAACAGACGGTGTACGAGATCCTTTAGTTATAAACTAATTTCGTTTAATTAACATTAGGTTTTTCGAAGAAAAATATAGTCAATGTTAATTTTAAGTTAAGTTTTTTCGACTTTGTCAACTTTCTCTCATATTAACAACGAGGGAAGGATGATATAGTGAAGAAAAATAAAAAGACCAAGAACAATCCTTAAAATAACTCTATCAAATAAATTGATATTTTGTGTAATTATACTTGACATTTGACGTTGATCATCTATGTTTATGTAGTCCTTTTACTTGTAAGGTTTCGGAAAAATATATTCTTTAGAGAAATTTTCGTTAAAATCCGTCATTTCCTCATATGGTGTGAATCTCACTGCGATATGTGAATGTAGATATTATTCTTTGTTTCGCACTTACTCTCACACTTTACAGCACGTCCTTAACAGTATCATTTAACGATACTTTGGAATATTTTCGACGTGTTGTAGTAAAACATATTTTTTCGTCATTTTTTCTCTATTTTTCTGTCGATCATATTAATACGTACTGTCAGTTGATTATGATGTAATTTTTCATATATAATAAATAGTTTTTTAGCCTCGTTGAAACATAAAGACCTTCAGAAAATTCTAAAGGTCTCTGATGAAGAATAAACATATAACGGTGAATAACTGTATAATATGTATCTAATTAATATAATTAGAAATTAAATTTCGAACATGAATTTTATTTGTAAAGCGTTATTAGTCATTTTAACTTATTTTATCTACTTTGTTTGTAGTAGCTGATGCAATATGAGTCGTCAATTGTCATCAGAATTAATAGTGCACTTAAATCTATATCTACAGTATCTATAATCCGAACTACAGTAAAGGTTCAATAGTGAAAAATCAGTTTTCTCGCCTGATTATCCATTGTGTCACAGTCATACTCTATTTCTCAATAGTAAACAAGTTTTTCATATTTGGTTTTTCTGCTTAACTGCTATAATCTAACAGAGTTAACAAATCTAACTGTAAATAATCTATATATACAGTAGTTATTTATACCTATTAAACATGACATATTTTAATGATTAGGTTTTTGTTATTTTTTTAAAATTCATATTGTTAATCATATTAAGATCGATCAACAACAAATAATTAAACATATTTAATAAGATCTGAGTGAGGATAAAATTGACGATATTTCCTTGATCGATACATAATCTTTGATATGTGTTTACTTTTTTTTAAAAACCTTCAATCTAATTGCGTAAAATCTCTAACGTTTTATTCTATATAGATATGATTATTGTAATTCATTATTCATATCAAACACAAAACTATATTTGATATAATATTTAATGATTCTGTCAAAAATTGTTTTGATTTGTTCATGTGTAGTTTGAATTAATTCAATATCATATGTAATATTATGTTGACTAGAGCAATCTAACATCTATTGAGTTTCTTTCATTTCACTGATAGTACTATAATATATTATTGGTTTTTTCCTGTAAATAGGTTAATATGAATTATATATAAACCCAATATATTAGGTCTTCATCTTGTAGATTAAAAAAATAAAAATATATATTATCTTGATTTTTATCAGTAAACTTAAACTTTGAATTTACATCTTTATAGCTAAACAATTTATAAAGTTTCATTGCACCGGTAACAACCGAAAGAAATTCGTTCTATGTCTGTTTTTTATATTACAAAATGAAAACTTTATATTTTTTATTTATATCTAATTCATGTCGTTCTACTCACTGACAAAACATATCGATGTTCATAAATATTCATAGAATCAGTTCAATGAGCCCGAACTATTACGAAATCACATTTTTATTTGGAAATTTTTTCATATGTTCGTATGTGTTCGCCTGCAGACACCCAAATAAAATACATATACATACATACATACAATAAATGACTTCAAATCTGAGTGGATCAATTAGAGAGGCAACATCATGCGTCGACGATACTCTATCAATAATTAAATCTAATTCATTTGTTTTTCATTTGTTGGAAATAATAAATTTTTTAGCACCGAGTTTAAATGTATCATCACGTTTCGATTGTGATGATGAAATAACAATAATATATGTTTCCATAGCTGAGACAAATTTGACTGTTATACGAGCAAGACTGCCGAAAGACCAATGACTCTATTATTATTAAAAAACAATAAAAAAACGACTCGTTGATAAATATGATAGGTCTATATATTTACCTGAGGCATGTGTTTTTGTCAACCTTGTTATATCGTAATGGTGAATAACGTACTAATATCAGCGCACAATAGTGATACAGCACTGTCCAATGGCAAATTTTTCGGAATTTTGTTTAGAAAATATTCATAAACTATGATGAAATTAGAATAGCCTGTAAAACATGAAAAACGCATTTGTAAATAAAAAATTCTTTAAACTGAATGAGATAGAATCGATTTTGAATGTATCTTCATTTTTTTTATTTGAATTGTGCAAATATGTTATTAAAGAAAAAAATCATTTCCCATTTGTATTCTCATGTTTTCTAATTCTAAACAAAAGAAATTTTTCTTTGTGAAACAAATATATTAAGAATAGTTAGGAGCAATTATTCTTTTACATTTAATTTAACATTAATACTGTCCACTAGTATAAATAGACGAGTATTATCTTCTATATAGAAAAAAATATAATTAAATATAAACTAAAGAAAAAATCGAATCGAAAATTCGAACATGAACTAGAATATGTATATAATGAAGGATGTTATCATCTATCAACAAGTATCATTTAATAATATATTTCGAAAATTCAGCTGCTCTATCAATACTTCGAATCTTCGTTTTAAACTTTTATTTGTATTATAAATGTTAACTCTTGTACTATTCATATATTTCATATCTGAATATATTTATTAATTTATTCCTGTTAATGTAAATAATCGAAAAAAGAGATTCTACTACTTATTCTTCGATTGAACAAAATTGAAAAAATTATTCTCTCATTGTCATATTAGCTTGTTGATTAAAAATAGTATAAATATATTCTAAAAATAATAACATTTTGTTGAATATTTCAAAATAATTCTTATTATAGATTCAATCGATTGTCGACTATATTCATCAAATGATTCAACTTAAATAAACATTATAATTAATATTTATTCCTTGTGCTTGTGTAATAATCAATGGTAAATATATTTGATCAATGGGATATACGAATTTCTTCATAATTTTCTAAAATTTAACAAAATAAAACAAATGAACGAACAAGAATACATTGACATATTTGATAATAAATTTTTGTTATTAAATCACCATAATAAATAACATATTATATATATATCGACTATGTCGAACAAGTTATTGACATATTATGTTTGATTTATTTAATTAAAGAAATTGTTTTTGAGGATTAAATTATTTTAATAAATGTCATTAATTATCAAGTCAATTAGCACGATCAAAATCAAATGCAAATTCTACATGATATTATCTATTTAAACATTATTCAATCTATATTGATCGTGTTGATGGTGGTCTGTCCACCTGTTGTCCATCGTTCGATTTTTATTCGATTTCTTTTACGACGACACACAGCTAACAACAACAACTCGTCAACTCAATATTCCGGTTAAGAGTGACCTGTATTGTGAAAATAGTATTTATTTTTACGCACTATTATGAAAGAATTTTTGCTGAGCCTAACGGCAATGTTAGTGAAATGATGAAAAACTTATGGTGATGACCGGTGTATTAGGACCACTAGTTTCTTTTAACAGAAAGGCATATGAATAATAGAATGAATTATAGAAAAACATCAGTCATCACTAGGAGTGTACAGCTTACGCATACACAGATGAGTATGAGCGGCTTTCCTTATTCGAACAGGGAAGAAAAGTTAACTTTACTTGTAAAGATTGACAAAAAGTATTGGGGATCGAGAAATCCAGATCTATAATTTATGTTTCAAAATTTTCTTTTTGAATTTTTTTAAACAGTTTTTTCTTAGCAAAAAAGATTATTTTACCGAAGCACAAACTTTTTTGAAAAAAAAACTCAAATTTTGTTTGTAATTAATGAATCTTTTGGTAAAAAAATTTGTTTTTGAAAAAAACCAAAGTGAAAATTTTGGAAAACTGATTACAGATTTGGATTCTGCTATCCCGAAAAATTTTGGTTAAACTTTATAGAAAAAAACGTTATTTTCTTATAATGATCTTGTTTTGATAAGACAATTAAACCCAAGAATATCCCTTACTGAGTAATTGGTAATGTAACAGTTAATATAACTTCTACTTAGCAGCTTCAATCGATTACAATTACAATAAAGTCAATATTATAACAAGTGTATCTCTAGTAACAGCCATAAGAGTATATTTGGACCGGTGGATCACTTTCATCGTTGCATCCCTAAACGAATCAAACAAGAAACTACAATCTACCTCTCACTTGATTCGAATTTTCGTGATGTTTCGAGCACAGCATATTTTCGTCAATATTTGAACACTATTTTGGATTTATATATGATCTCTGTCGGCCCTGAAAAAATGCGTAGTAATTCTATCACCCATGATGGAGATTACATCTATGGATTTGTCAAATCTATTTATTTTTCATAGTATTATACCAGTATGCATGATTTGATAGTTATCTTGGTGAAGAAGAATGTTTTCGTATTGAAGAGCGAGATGTTTATTAGGCACTTAATTATGCTCTGAATAAGAGAAATCTTCTATGGATAGACTGATTAACTATGCCATCAAATAAATGATGAGAGATTGAAGAAAAATCAGTAATGTGCATCGAGAATGATATCATTTTGAAGATAAAAGAATTTTTTTTCTAAAATGGAACTGATTTCTGAAATGATTTTCACATAGAATTGGTTTTTCGATAAACAACTATGATCCATCCTTTTGCTAACAAACTCTTTTTATATTGTATCGAACATTTATACAAATACTCATTAAAAAAGCGACACGAATATCTTTTTGAATAACTTTTCCAGGGGTGCAGAATCTGCCGGTAAAATCAAAAATTTCCCCCGACGGTAAAATTTTTTCGAAAAATTTTCCCAGGTATGTGAGTGAATTAATTAACGAAGTTTTGGAATGAAAATACTTATTCAAAAACGCCACTAGCTATTTAATAAATTGCAAATTTACATTAAGAAAAAATACTGGTATTCAATATTCTATGTTTCAATCCGTGTTAAAAAAAAAGATTGATTTCAAACATCGATTAAAATCGGTTAAAACCATATGATTTTTAATCAATTATTCAAGAGTAATGGTCATGACAAAATCAAATTTTAAACGACTATTACGATTATGATAGATTTAGAATATTTCCAAAAATTGATAATAATCATAATAATCGAAACAATNTCACAACTACTTAATTGATTAATATAAGAAGGAGACAAATTTAATGATAAAACTTCAGAAACATTACAAATAGATAATTCAAACAATGATCATCCATCGTGTCAATTTTGTGCAGGTCAATCAAATTTATTTTTAAATAAATATTTTTTTTATTTCATTTTTTTTCATCACTAAAATTAGAAAAAACGTTTTTTTTTCCTAATCATTATAATAACATAAAAATATTTTTATTTTTAAACAACTAAATATTCATTTAGTCAACATTATATTCAATTCTATAATAAATAATATAAGAAAAAATCTTGATTTATATTAAAAAAACAAAAATAAATCTAATCATATTTATATTTATATTTGTTCAACTTGAATTTTAAATGAAACAACATCAATATAATGATAAATTACAATAATATACATTTGACCTTTTATTTGTTTAGAATTTTTAGAAATAAAAAATTTATTTCTGATTAACTCTAATCCTATGTTTAGAATTATTAATTATAGCAAATATATAAATCAAAGATTTTTTTTTTCTTCTCGAGATCATCAAAAACTTATTCATTTATACTATAATAAATATATTGAATAATTTCGTTAATATATTAATAAAAAGACTTTTAAATAAATATATTTTTAATCAGTAATTAATTGACACAATGGGATATACGAATTTCAAGCGTTTTTAACTCAAATTGACTTTTGAACTTTTGAACAAAAAAAGATGAAAACAAAAGAATAATAATTAAGTTTATTATTGTAATGTTTTTAGACAAGAAGTGGTTAAATCTACAATGGCATGAAACTAATACAAATACGAAAGATGAAGATATTGAAACAAAACCAATAAAAAAGCCAAATGAATTGGAAAATGAAATGGAAGATCCATTCAGTGAAATCGATCAAGTATTATTAGATCGTATTCAAGGTTCCATTATAGGAATGGCATTAGGTGATGCTCTTGGAGCACATGTAGAATTTCGACCTTATTCATATATGAAAAATAATCCAGTTCAAGATCTCGAAGGTGGAGGCACATGGGGTCTTCAAAAAGGACAGGTAATTTTAATTCATATTTATTTAAAAATATATTATTTCATTTTAATTTTTAAACAAACAAATTATTTTATTCTAAATTAAATTTACATATATATTGAAAAAAAAATTTATTTTTTAACTGATGATCAAACAGTCATTTTATAATTATTTTAAATAAAAACAAGAAGAATACATTTGTCTTTAATCTGTTGTTGCTATCCCCAGTCATATCCAAACAAGGACATCGTACATTGACAAATAATTCTACAAAAGTTAATCACTAAGCTTTAGTCGTTTAATTATATTGATAAATAAAATAAAATAAAATAAAATAATTAGTGAATAGAATTTTTGTTGTCATCCTTGTTTTACAGTATTTGTTTGATTATATAGAGAGAAAGAAAATGTTAAAGATTTGACTATGATTAGATATTTTCTGTAATCGACAGGAGAAATAAATATTATTTGTTTATTTATTATTATGCAAAACTTTGTTTTTAAAATCGAATAGTGACAAATATTTATCAATATATTATATGATATATATATATATATATATATATAGTCTCATATCATTTTTTATGAATTTAATTATTTAGAATTATTTTTTTGTCAAAGAAAAAATAATTTTCTATATATTATCTTAGTTCACTGATGATACTTCGATGGCTCTTTGCTTAGCTAATTCATTATTGGCTCGTCGTGATTTTATTCCCTATGATCAATTAGTTCGTTATAAATGGTGGTATAGATTTGGATATATGTCATCAACTGGACAATGTTTTGACATAGGTGCAGCTACAAGTCAATCATTACGTGAATTTGAACGTCGTCAAAAAATATTTTCAAAAGAAAAATGTCTTCCACTTAATAAAATGGATCAACTTTCAGATGAGAAATTTCTTGAAGAATTTGATACATATTGTAGCGAAGAAGATGTTGCTGGTAACGGAGCTTTAATGCGTTTAGCTCCAGTACCTCTCTTCTTCTATCGAAATAAATATGCTGCAATTGAATTTTCTGGTCGAAGCGGACAGATCACTCATGGGGATAAAAAGGCTTATGATGCTTGTCGATTTTATGGTGCATTAATTATTGCTGCTCTTCGTGGTTTTAAAAAAGAACAAATATTGGCTAAAAACTTTTATTCTGCACATAGACATTGGTTCGGTGAAGAACCATTACATAAAGAAATACAAGAAATTGCTGAAGGATCATTCAAAAAGAAGGGTGGCTATAAGAAAGGTATTAGAGGAAAAGGTTATATTGTTAAGGCTCTTGAAGCTGCTTTATGGGCTTTTTGGTCTGATAAGAACTCATTTGAAAAAGGTGCTCTGGCTGCTGTTAATCTTGGTGATGATACGGATACAACAGCTGCCATCTATGGTCAGCTAGCTGGTGCTTATTACGGATATAAAAACTTGCCAAAACATTGGCTTGAGCACGTCTATGCTCACAAATTTCTGAAAACATTAGGTAAATGGATTGCATATGAAGGAGAACAATGGGAATCGAAAATGCGACATTCTTTTACTAATAAATAAATAATTAGAAATTGACATTATATTTCTAAAATTGCCATAGTATTGTTTTGTATTGTATTGTGCCAAAATTAATAAAACAAAAGTTTATATTATTATTTATAATGATCTTTTCTCTTATAGAATATTTGTATTTAATATTAAGAAACTGATAAATTTTCATTATCTTTAAATAATTTTTATTTAATTTATTATTTAATAAAAGAATCAAAATTTATTTTTTATTTATTTAAAATTTATCAAAATAAAAATTATAAGAAAATAAATCTATTCAAATGAATTCATACAATAAATAAAAGAAATAAATTAAACTTCTTTCGTTTATTAATTTATCTCTCTAATCATATATATTTTATATTGAACGTTTTTTTTATATTTATAGATAAAATAAACTGTCATAGACATTTATCATGACGAATTTTCCGTCACCATATGAAAAAGTACTTCCACATAACATTAAACTCGATAAAATTCCTGAATATCATGAAAAAGATGATACATGTGATAGAGTAATTGGTTCTCTTGTCGGTCTTGCTATTGGTGATGCTCTTGGAGCTAGTGTAGAATTTCGTCCTCAACAATATCTTGCCGCTAATCCAATCCGTAAAATGGAAGGTGGAGGCACATGGGGTCTTGAAGCAGGTAAATGGACAGATGATACGTCTATGGCTTTATGTCTTGCTTCATCATTAATCAGTCAACATGGATTTAATCCTTATGATCAAATGGTTCGTTATAAATGGTGGAATAAATATGGATATTTTTCATCAACAGGACATTGTTTTGATATTGGACAGGCAACTCGTCAATCTATAAGTGAATTTTGTGATCGACAAAAAATTCTTAAGATACATTATCGTTGTCGAAACGAATTTGAAGTTGATACATTAACATGGGATTCTGTTAAACGCATTAAAAATTTTCATATTGATTGTGGTGATAAAGATTCAGCCGGAAATGGAGCTCTTATGCGTCTTGCTCCTATACCATTATTCTACTTTCGAACACCTGAAAAAGCAATTGAATATGCTGCTCGTAGTGCTTCTATTACTCATGCAAATACAAAAGCAATTGATGCATGTCGTTATTATGCAGCACTCATTATTGCTGCTATTTGGAAATATACTAAAGATGAATTACTTGATCAAGATTTTTATTCGAAACATCGATCATGGTTTGGTGAAAAATCTCTACATGATGATATTTTACAGATTTGTCGAGGATCATATAAAAAAGGTGGATATGAACAAGGTATTAGAGGTAAAGGTTATATTGTTAGTGCTCTTGAAGCTGCTTTGTGGGCTTTTTGGTCAGATAATGATTCGTTTGAAAAAGGAGCTTTAGCTGCTGTTAATCTTGGGGATGATACAGATACAACAGCTGCTATTTACAGTCAATTAGCTGGAGCTTATTATGGATATAGAAATATTCCAAAAGATTGGTTAGAAAAACTTTATTCTCGTGATTTGATCGTCTCTATGAGTGAATGGATTCATTATGAAGGAAGTCAACTTAAATTTGAACATTTTAAAGATGAAAATATATCATCAATAGAAACATTAATTGATAATGATAAACATTCAGAGAAAAAACATCAACAAAATAGAAATTCATCATTAACATGTCAACCAAATAATTTAGAGAAATTAAATAATCGAAAGAGAAATAATTCAAATCAATCGATTAATTATGATCGTTCTTTATCATTAGAATTATCTACAAATACTTCGAATAGTTTAATGTTATCATCTAATGATGTTAATATAGGATTTTCAAGTTTGAAATCATTTACTAAAAAAACTCAACATGATGATATTACAAGAAAAGTTCATGAATATCCGTTTTATCGTANCCTAGAATCTTTTTTTTCATATGAGCAGATAGAGAAATCATTTCTCTTCCCAACTACATCAAAAGAAAAATTTTACTCCTTAAAATAACTGAGATATACGAGATAGAACAGAGACACCCTCGAAAAGCGTTCGCTTTACCAACATTGACTCTATTTCTTATACTAAATATCGACTGACCCTAATCAACATATGCTTTTAATCATAATGTTATAGAAAGATGTTAGTAAACCTAGGTTTTACTATAGATGTAAAAGATTTCTCTCATAGATTTTAATTAACTAATTTTTGGTTTATTAAAGTCTCTTTAATGCTGACTCAAAATTCAATCAAAAATACATTGTTGATATCAAATCTGATAAATCGAAAATAATAATTTAATTATTAAATCTAAAGACAGTAATAAATTTTTCATCTAACCCATTCATCGCTGACAGTCGTTATTTCAGCTTGAATCCAATCTATGCAATAAATCGTGTATCAATCATTTGTTGGATCAATATTTTATGGAAACAAACTAAAATTTATATAGCTTTTCTTTGTATTCAGAGAAATCTTATATATATTTATAGTCAACCCATATGATTCAAATCGAAAAAAATCAAAAGTAGTTGGATATATGAACGATTGGTAACCTTCTGACAACTATGCTACTGTGTTATATAGATAATTGTTCTGTGACCGACAATATACAGTCGATTCTTACAAATACCGTTATATACTAGCAACAGTAAGAACAAACGTGTGATATAGGTACTCATTCAAACTTTTTATATCTACTAATAAGACATAATCAAAGTTTTTTTTATTTGAAATTATAATTTTTTTCGAAAATCCAAGACAGTTAAGGATTAGTGGTGTAACAAGATGGGAGTTAGAGAGAACTAAGAATTCTAAAAGACTTTGAACTCTAGCTCGTACATACGTTTGAGTTTTGCTTCTAGAAGAGATTTTTGCTTGTTCTAGAAACATTAGCAGAAGGTTACTGTCTCCGTTCATCATGCAAACTTTTGTCTGATTGCGTGACTATCAAAGAAATGACATAGATATATTTTGTTTATTATAATTGATTATTGTGTTTTGAATATACTATAATGAATAGTGACAAGAAAAATTATTAAAGTTCTGTTGTCTGTCAAAATAATGGGCCGATATCTATAAATTATGAAACAAAAAAACAAAAAAACAAAAAAGTTAATTAATTATTTCTTATGCTCTTCGATCGTCTTGTGTACAGGCCAGTGCGCTCGTTAACATTTAGCATCACAATAATGAGCCTTCCGACATGGGCAACTTTTCGGTGGATTTGGCTTTTTACATTGATCGCACACTTGGATATGTTCTTTAGACTCGCTTGATGATGTAGACGATAATTGTAAACCAGTGAATGGAGTTGTTAACAACAGACCTTGTTTTTCAAACCAAATCTCCATCATAGTTTTCATTTCGCAATTTATATCGACTGGTTCGTGGCACGAGAGACGTACACTTGGATTATCAGTTTCTTGTAATTTGAGCCAATGATGATATGTAAGTTGTGGTTCATTACGTGACATATAAATGAATGCAAGAGTGAAATGTGCCATAGGTACTTTTCGATGATCGACTGGATTGAGCTCGATAAAGCGATTGTATATAGCAATTATCTTATTGGTAATTTCGATCGATGTCTTAGACTTTATTTCATTTCTAGTTTGATCCATTGTAGTACGAGAGCGAAAGCCTTTTCTAGATGTTACTCTAGTTGAATTTTGAGTATCATACAAAAATTTCGTAGCACCAGCTTGTGTATATAACCATCCAGGATGAAAGTCAAGTTCAAGTGCTCGTGCACACGCTCGTTCTGCTTTATCATATTCCTTAGTAAACATATACATATCCGCTAACAAATGATGAATATCAGCAGCAAGTGGATTGTGTTTAATACATTCTTCAAGAAGTCTTACACGTTCTTTGAAACTTCGATGTTCTATACGAACAATGAGATGTAAAGCATCAGCATCGTAAGGATTAACTTCCAGACGAGTTTGGGCGATGTCAGAAAAAGACATTGGAATTGGTAAGCGTTCACATAGTAAATAAGCATTTCGCAAGAGAGATAAAGCTTTGACAGGTGAGTTTTCTTCTTCATCTAATGCTTCTATTAACATCATAATGGCCATCTGATATTGTTTAGCAGTAATCGAACCAGCATATGCACGCCGTTCAACTTCTTCAAATACCTCCTTGTTCAATAAGGAATATTCACGTGGAATCAATACTGTAGTCTCGTCAAGAGGCGTCGATAATGATGTGATATTAGATATTTGTGACATATTTAACGGTAACAGCTGACTTAAAACTCGAAGTATACGTTCATCGATGGTTATTTCATCATTAGATAACTCTGGATGTTTTTGTTCGAAGTTGTATACAGCTTTCGCTACTGTTAATTCTTGATCAACGTTGTTCTCGTCTCCCATTGTATTTCTTTCAGAAGTCGAACAATATTTAACACCCTGTCGTCTGCCTCGTGTCAGCCAACGGCGTGCTTCATCCAAATTTTGTTCACATCCATGTCCAAAAGCAAAGAGCCTGCCAAGACGCCATTGTGCCAAAGCATGACCTTTTTCTGCTGCTTGCTTCATGAAAGCAAATCCATCACCATTTCGTTTGAAATGATAGAGCAGAATCTCGGCTAATGCAAACTCCGCTTCTAGATTACCACAATTGGCAGCACGACGATAATATTCTTCAGCTAGATTCATATTTTTATGATAGCCACCTTCTCCTCGGGCATAATTCGATGCGAGTAACATGAGTACATGCGGATTGTTTTCTGCTGTATCTTCACGTACGACAGGTTTGAGCGAAGTACCTCTGCGAGATTGTACCTCTTGAATTTTCTTATATGCATCGGGATAACCTTGATCGGCAGCATGACGATAAAAATCCAATGCTTGTGAAATATCAGTAGAACCTCCAATGCCATCAGCCAGAAGATCAGCGTAATTGAATTGAGCTTCAGCAATACCACATTGTGCTGCTCTTGCAAACCAACTACGAGCCCATTCTTCGTTTTTTTTTATGCCTAAGCCGTTCAAGAGTGCAACAGCAAAATTATTCTGTCCTTCAGGACATCCATGTTCAGCTGATCGGCGAAAATACTCAGTAGCTTTTATTTGATCGATGTCAACACCAGCTCCATCTCAATAGAGAATACCCAAACTGTTTTCAGCTTCAGCTACGCCTATATTTCGAAGAATCATATCACCTAATCGACAGTAAGGTTTTTGAGCTGCTGCTTTTTCCTAGTAACACATAAGAAGAATCTCTGAAAAAGGAATTATCAAATTATAAAGAAAAAATGAAATATTTTGTCTTTTCAAAATTTATTCTCATCTCTTTTTCGTATCTAATCAATTTTAATCAATCAACGCTATAGTCATTGAGATACTAGAAAATTTTTGAGCTACTCAAACAGAGAAATATTTGAAAATAAAATATTCATTAGATAAAGAACTCGTTCTTAGTATTTTCAATCCTTGTTAGAAAATCCTTCGTAAAATATCTATAATTAATTCTTGACATATTCGAAATAACATCTTACTTGATAATATTTCCACCTAACATAATCTCTTACGATACCAGCATATCCGCCTTTGCCATAAATTACACCCAAATTGTAATATCCTTCTGCACTACCTAGACGAGCTGTCTCTTCGTATAGTTGAAGAATACGTCGTTCATTCTCAGCTTTGCCCGTTCTAAAAAGACGTTTAATTTCAATCATTAAATTATTTACTTTTAAACAAGTCGGAAAATCCTTAATATCTAAAACATCTTCATTGCATGGCGTTGGTGTAATAATGAGAGTTTGCATTTGAGATAAAAAGTCGTCACGTGATTTTGGCTCAGGTTGAATAGAACGCGGATTATGTATATCGGTATACAATGTCATTAAATGTGCACGACAATCACGTTGTCGTGAAAGAAGAACAGAATCACGAGGTTCGATTTTTAACCCATCGGTACATGCACCATCTGCTTCGGAAAATAATTCTAATGTCATTAGGACTTCAGACAAAATTCTATAGTATTTAACTTGTGTTGAGTCCAACTCAATTGCATCTTCAGCATCTTCCCGAGCCAGTTCATATTTCGTCAGATTAATTTCACATAAAGCTCGATTGGCATACAATATTGGCTGTTTCTGATTCAAGCGCAATGCTTGAGTGTAATAATTCATGGCTTCTGTCCATTGTTTTTGTTTGAAACATGCATTACCATTTTCTTTCAATTCTTCCCAAGCGTCTAACGTCAATGAAACACTTGTCTTCGCACGAATATCTCGAGCTACATCAGGTTTATCAATAGCCGTAGCCAATTTGGCAAGTGTTTCTAGAGCATGTTCGTATTTATCAATGTCGAAGTTTTGATGAGAGACAGAATTTCGAATATCTATAGCTCGTCTAGCTAAGCTACGCATTTGTATCGGACAACCTCCTTTTCGATGTAGAAGTAGATCATTCCAATGATCTCGAGCCACGAATTTTGCAAGATTTGAAAAATCTGCGTTATTGACTTCATCTCGAAGGACGCGTTGATCTTGAGAAGATTTTTTCGATTGATTTATAACTAGAAGAAGATAAGTCAATAAATGTTCATGAAGAATTTCGATAGATTCTTGAAGACGACCAGCTGCCTGTGCACGACTGATTTGATTAGTTGTCATGTCAGATAGTTGTAGTTAACCAATAAAAAATGTTCAATTGTAAATGTTTTGATACTAGAAACAAAAAAAAGAATCCAATATATAGTATCTATGTTGTGATTAAACCGCATAATGTTTCACCTATACGCTACAGAGAAAAAAAAGAATAGAAAACTGTTATCATAATAGACAATAGCAAAAGTATCGTGCGAAATGAAACATTTCTCATATTGGGTGACTTATTTTTCCAAAGTTGAAAAAGATGTGTTGATGAAATATTCAATGACATAGATTTTCTTTCAATTCTGATATTTAATTTTTCTATATAATATTACGCAATGATATGCGTTTAAAATATATGATCTTTCTTATTGTAATACGATAACTTCTATTCTATAAAAGTATTTGAAAACAATTCTCAAATGTCTTAATGAAATTCTATTGAGCTGCTTCATTGATGAAAGAACAAATAATTAATTCAGTAAACACCTGATATTTCAAATGAAAAATCTCGATATCAATTAGAAAACGTTAACACTATGGCAGATTTTTGCAAAAGACTATTCAACGTATAAATTAAATAATTATATTGTGACAAGGAGAAAATCTTTTTTTTTTCCTTAATAAATCTGATCAAACCAAAACGATCCTAAACTGTTACATATGTCATATGGACAACCGTATATCAGATGTAGATGGTTATTTATTTATTAATCTTATCACTATTGTGTATATTGCCGTGTCATAAACAATTTACTAATAATATTTCCGATGGGTTTACAATAATCTTTTGGTAAGAAAAATTGTGCAAAAATTTTGATAAAATTTGATTAGGTGACTTTTGAGTCTTTCAAAAAACAGTCTCCTTATGTAAAGTTAGCTTTGTTCACAGTCGTCCGAGTATCCGATAGTTTTAATTCATTGAAAGACTATTTTATTGAATTACTAATTTGCTTTCATAATGTTCTTGTTTGATAAAACTATCGAAAACATACATTTTTTTAATACTACGTTAATATATCAAATAATGAAAATTTTCTGATATATACATAAAACTGTTGTGTTTTATCTATGTGAGACCTATTTATATATGAGTCAGTCCATGTAAACCACGACCGATCTACGGAGAAGCTGCTCAATCGAGGTCATCAGATCGGGTTCATTTTATGATATGTTATAGAGGCNAACGTTCAACAACAAATACGCATGAAAAGAGACTCTGATGGATCAAAGTTCTTTGAAACGGACGAATATCCTACGAAAAATCAAATCAACTATCAGTTTCGCAAGCTGAGTAGAAAATACGATCTATCCATGCAACAACAACTTATAGCCGAAATCATCGATGAAAACAAAGAATCGTAATAAATCGTGTGCCTAAAAATGAACAATATGATCTTTCTGAACTTAACTTTTCAGTATCGAAGTTTATTTTAAATAAGAGATGCATGTATTTCACTCTTTTTCAAAAAGCATATAGCAATTCAGTTTGACTTTCGAAAATACTCAACTAAAATTGATACTGATATGAGAACAAAATATCACAGATATAAGATAACACCAGTACTCAATGAGCATAGCCGACGAATCTACATCAATCGATATCGCTCAAAAGAACACAATACGCGTGACTTATGTCATAAAAGAGTACCATAAACGTATAGTTGAAAAAATGTCAAGTCTGATGAAATGGTGGACGGTTGTAAACCGAATATTACTTCCACAATATTGCCAGTATATTGAAATACAGCAATCATTGCAAAGAAAACTGCGACGTGTAGTTATTCTCCTACACATGCAGCAAAATCTCATGATTATACCTGAATTTCCTTGTACTTGTAGAAAAAAATTTACAATATGATTAAGAGAATATCACCATCATGTTCAGCTTGAAAAGTTACCTAGACTCCATAGAAAATAAAAAACGTGATTGTAAAAATTTCCGCCTAATTGGGGACTTACACACATTTCACATTTTGCTAGAAAGATGGATCTTGTAACCAGCCAATTCTGGAGATCCCACGTTGATTTCTATATAGGGTTGTAGTCCATTGAGAGTACTTTCTAATGATAACATCCAGCACTCCAGGCGACCCGTATCTTGGGAGATAATCTACTCGGAAAATCGACATTTTTTCAAAAATGCCATTCTTTGAATACATGTTCTAGCCGAATGGATCGATCAAATTGGCTGAAATTTCTAGGAGACATAGATCTCTGAGGGCTCTATCTACAGTAAAACTTTCAGACTCCTATCTCATCCCCATCACAAGTTATGAAGAGTCAAACTTACCAAAAAAATTCCATTTTCCATATTTTCGATGACTCATAATTATCGAATAGTCCTATATTTTGGGACAAAAATTTTATCACAGGTAGAACTCACGTAGTTGTGCTTGCATACAAAATTTGAGCTCAGTTCAAAAAGGTATTGTCGAGATATGGTCAGATCTAGACCCCCCTTGGAGAAGGTGGCATTTTTAGAGCTTTTCGTAAAACCTTCATAAAAAATTAACGGTTCAATATTTTTTCAAAAATCTTTCACAGAAATTCTTAGAACTCTTGCCTCTATAACATATCATAAAATGAACCCGATCTGATGACCTCGATTGAGCAGCTTCTCCGTAGATCGGTCGTGGTTTACATGGACTGACTCATATATATAGGTTTAGTCTAACATCATTGCATAGAATTTCAGACATTTTTTTGCATACATAAATTGAAAATTCAACGAAACAAGTCTAATTCAGAAAAAAAGAGCTCAGCTACTCAGACTACAGAAAACATTCTTCTCGTACAATGCATTCTCTCTGTAAGAAAATGTAAAATGAAAATAGTTTCAAAATTCGAAGAAATTATCTGGTTAATAAAAGAATATCAAAATTGAACGAAAGTCATTTAGAAAAAAATTTGACCAAATCGAATCAGTATGAAAAATATTTCTGTGAAACTTCATCAGTAAAAAACTTATCTTATTTGAATGAGTAAATCATTAACATGAATACGATTGACATAATTATTAACGAAGAGACATTTTGTTGAGAATAAAATTAAAAAACTTCTGCAAGCTTCTACAATAATATATTCACGTCCACACTAAAATCTTGATTTGTCGAGATTAAATAAAAGTTTGTTTTTTTTTGAATATGATGATGTAAGTAGAATTCAAGCAGAGCAATATTTTTTGTAAAACGAGATATTTTTTTGTTGCTTCCTCTACTACATACTCAAGGTAAATATTTATGCAATAATAAATTGAAAAGATAAAAAAATAACTGTCGACAGAAGAACATAGTCTCTTACAATGATGGACCATAAAAAACAAGAGTTATCACCGGTGACATTGTAAATAAAGATAATTATTTAGAAAAAATTTGACACGAAAATAACCACCAACGTCATGTAAATCAAAGAAATATTGACTTCATTTTTTTCTTTTTGCTATGAACTGATTTAATCATCCAATAAGTTGTTTTGCTTAGTTTTTATTGTTTTTTTTTTTCGTTCTATTTCTTCCAGCTGGGTTTTAAAGAGTTCGTAAAAAACCTGTGCCGATAAAAAGAACATCATTCGAGCATTATTATAAGATGATACAAATCTTATTGGACAAAATCGAATTAAAATAAACTAGATTATTTCCTCGACTGCAGGGAGAGTCATATGCAATAAAATAAGTTTACTTGCTTGTATATTTGCATGCATGTGTCTAGTCACGTGTTCTCATACATTTTCAGGAACCAGGAATGTTTTATAAAGTTTAAACAAAATTAATCGGGGTCGGAAATCCGAATCCGAATCTTAATCAGATTTCCGAAACTTTAAGTTTGAGTTTTCTGATCAGCGAAAAGTTTTTTTGAGGAAATAACAATATTTTATAAAAAGTGACGAAAGTATGGGTGTGAGTGTCAAAATGATTTTGAGCAAGGAATCGAAGTCTGACTTGCCTAGTTTTTGCATAATTTTAAATGTTATTTTTGGAAAAATAGATTTAAGGACTTGAGCGGCTAATCGAATGGGGCGCCCCATAGAGGCGCCGACGTATCAACAGAAACCTCTGCTTTCGGTGTAACAGGGATAACTTCAAGACATATACCATTCGTGTTTGATTCTAGAATAGATTTTTTCTTTTTTTCGAAAACTCGATTATTTCACATAGTCGATACTCGTGCTTCGCATCTTATTTCACATGCTCGACGAAGTCGAGCATGTCATCTAGTTTCAGTTATAATAAGAAGATATTGCATATATATTCAAAATGAAAACGGCACTATATTCTTGATAACAAAGAGTTGACGATAAGGGTTCGAAGTTTATACTACAAACATAACTCGATAAATTAAATGGAGACAGTAAACATGTTCTCAACTAGATAGTGATGAATAGTAACCTTCTTATTCAAAGTTCACCAATCAATAGTTGACTTATTATCTCTGATCTTCTACGTACAAATAATACATTGCTCAACAATTGACTTGTTCGTGATTTCGACTGGCAAGTTCCGTTTTGTTAATTGATACGCGTGCCACTCGATTTTCATTTATCTAATGTTTAAATCCAGTCGAGCAGGAACAGCGAGACATGCCAGTACGATTTTCTAATAATCTATGCGATAAGGTAGCAGTCAAGTGATTGTTACTGTCGTGTCTCATCTGACATTTATTATTGAACAAATGTCCATCAACATTCCGTCGAAGATCAGACTGAACTGAATAAATCATGTTAAACTTTATCAATGCATCTTGCTTGTTTTCATTAGCTTTTTAAATTGTTTGATCATGTTATATATATTAACATGTTATGATCACTATCATCAAGTCATATTTATTATTACTCATCAACATCTCAACAAAGTTTTTTTCCATCGTTTTGTAGTTTGACTCACATAGTTATTTGTTAAAATCTATTGAAAATAAGTCTGTTGATCATATTTAAATATATTGACACTATTTTTATTATAATAAAATTTATCATTATCATAAATCCGTTGAACATTTTTCAAAATAATTCTTCAATATTATTACGCATGATTATTATTTATTTAAATCTGAAGTTCTTTCTTGAATTATTGATAAAATTAGAAAATATCTTTGAATCGAATTAATGATGATTTATTCAATAGTCAATTAATCTCACTGAATAAATCGTGATTAAAAATAAATAGACATTTGAACATATTGTACAAAATAAATATCAATGTCTGAAAGCAAAATTATTTGATAATAATTATTATTTAAGATAGAACATTTGTTTATTAGTTTGATTGTGAAACATATATAGAATACATGTGAAAATTGTTTTATTTACGTTTCAAGCTCATATGAATGAAACAAAATGAGAGAAAGAAAATTCAAGGTAAAAGATCAATCATCATGTCAATTTTCTGTTTGTGAAATCTCGTCGAAAAAAAAACTTCGATCAATCAGTTAAATGAGATTTGTGAAATTGTTGTTAAAGAGAACATATTTGTTTATAGATGTCTTTCATCATATTTCATTGAATAGTCGCAAAAGAATTGAAACAATATTAACAAGTTAGACGGAGACAGACGAAAAATAGAATATTATAGAATTGTTTGAGTTGTGTTAATATTAGTTCATAATGACATCAAAATCAGCAAGAAGCAAACAAGTCCAATTGACTGACTGGCAATTATTTACCAACAATGGAAATTTTAATAATCCATTACCTCCTGGTAGACGACTAAACAAGCGATATCCTTATTTTGTCGATGATGTTGATGCCAACAGTGTACGTACACGTTGTAGAACAGCAAAAAGTCGAAGTGATTTATTTTCTAATTTGTTATATTAAATATAATATTTAGTTTTTTAAAATTAAGATCAATCGGCAATAAGTACAAGCACTAGAAGAATATTAAGTGCACGATCTATCTATTATAGACGTATACCACGAGTCAAACCAATTTATCTTGATCTCAATGAAGAATCTGATGAGATTCGTGGTAATTATTTATTTATTCATCTTTGAAAATTACGTTGAATTTGTAGCAGAGTTTATCAAACAATAGAATAAAATTTTCATACATTTTATGTTTGTTAATTATGGATTTTAATTGATAGTACAGTAAAGAAAAATCGAGCAAAATCTTCTCTTTTTTTTTTCTAATAATTCTTTTTCTAATATGCTGATTTGTAAATAAAGCAGTTTCATATATATTTTAAATCTAAACAAGTAAAGAGAACCTTGAATAGAACAAATGAGATCGATTGAAAGAAAAAGTCATGAGCTCTAGAAATTTATACTATTTAATAAATAATTAATTTCCTTTTGTTTTATTTAGTTTATCCATCAACAAAGTTACAAACAGGTAGAGCATCGACAGCTTGTTCACAACGTTCGCATATTTGGGAACCTCAAGCATGGTCATTTTCTTATCTTCATCGAGCAATTATTGCCATTGATGAACAAGCTAAAAAAGATTATTTAGCTGGTCGTACAATGAATGCACTTGCGGCCTGGCAAAATGCACTTAGCTTTTGTGACCAATTAACTCAGCGAACTCAACTATGGCCTGAAAACGTATATTCATATATTTATATAGATATACATACACATAGAGTCTAAACTAAAAATCAAAGAAGGATTGACTTTTCTTGCTCTTTATATTAATAGTTATATATGATATATTTCTAATCAAATATACAAGATAGATAGCAGTAATCATGTTAGGGACATATCATCAATTTTTTAGTGAGACGATTTTTAAAGAAAAAGACATACAAATATTTATCATATTATTGACAGTTTATATCGAAATTTATGAAAATCGAATAAAATATATTGATTAATATGATTATTTTTTCATCGAAATCAGAGATTTATTTGTATAATTTTCAATAAATCTTAGATTAAATAGATGATAATATACTATAATTATCTCTGTATTAGCATATTAATCTATGTAGCACAAATATAATCTATAACTATTTATGTTACTGAATATATGTATCCTTAGTTTTCATTAACTGTGTGTGTGTCTATGTAAGTGACTTTTTAATATCCTATGAATTTTTCTTTTTTTTGCAGAAAGCCCAACTTGATGAAGAAATTGAGACATTGAAACGCACATACAGGAAACATATGGCAGAAATAATGAGGAACAATAAGAATATTGATCAAAAGTAAGTCGAACAAATCTTCTGCGAAGTATACGATTGCGTTGAAAACCTTCACACTGATTAACATTATTATTGTAATATACATGAAATATAAATAGATATCAATATATAATAAACTATTTCTCGAAACAGAAGATAATAGAAATTAAAATAATCTTTTCTGAATATTTAATTTGTGGATATAAATTAAAATCAAGTTTTTCTTCTTGTTAAATTTAGTCAATTTTTGGTTCCGACAAGAAAATGTACAATGTGCAGAACAGACCAATTACTAGATCAATTCCATGAACGATTGAGTAATGATTGTCAACATGTTGAACGCACTATATGCGACAAATGTATTTATAAAAATGGAAAATCTCAACTTGAAAATTCATCTTCGATTGAAATAAATTGTCCAGAACCAAACTGCACAGCTAAATTTAATCTTAAACAAATTCGTCAAATGATTCAAACTGTTAATAAAATTGAATCCGTCGAAACTAGTGATCGTCATTCAAAGGGTCATACTCATGAACGAAAGACTGAATTCATTTTATGTGCTCATGACGAATGTGGTTCAGGACAATTTCATATTTTAGCTCAAAATTCTTCTCCAATAGTAACATGTATTCTATGTAAACAACAAACATGTGCTCTACATCGTATTAAATGGCATAAAGGTCTTACATGTGAAGAATATGATAAACAAAAACAACAAAAACAACAACAACAACAACAAGCTATTGAAAATGAAAAAAAACAGTGTCCAAAATGTCAATATATAAATGAAATAAATTTAAATAATGATCGTACAATATGTTCAATGTGTAAATATGAATATTGTCCTGAATGTAAAACAGATTATAAAGAAATTCAACGAATTGGTCTTAATCATCATAAAACAACATGTAGTCGTTATGATAACAATCCAAAAAAGAAAACATCTAAATCAAGTGCTTGTACAATACTATAGATCGACAATATCATCATCATCATCATAAATATATATTCAATAGACATTAAAATATATGATTTTTAATAATATAACATATTAGTTTACTTCTAGTTTTAAATGTGAAGCATTATATTTTACAGATATATTTTTAATACAACAATGAACAACAATATACTCGACTGATTATTATTATATTAAGAATATATTGACAAAATCAACATGTTTTACGACGAAGTTATTTAATGTTTTTAAAAATATTGTTTTAATCTTCTTATTTTTGTTTTTAATATTGATCTTCACTTAAATTGAATAAATTATTGAAATTGAAAATATATTTCTATTTATTTTTCATGTTGATGTTTTTTATTCTTTTCTATATTTATCAAATAAAATATATTTATTATGTTTTATAAACAATACGTGTAAACTTACTTATTTAAATTATTTATAGATATTAAACATGTTACTTATTTGGGAACGTAGAAATTCTTTATCATCTATATCTCATATACGTATATAATAATATGTAAAAATCTAATATGACACATTATTTCTTTCAACATTTTTATAAATCCACTTTTATAGATAATATAATAATAGTGATATGTTATAGCACAATATAATCTATAATGTTCTTAAGCAACATTTTTCATAGAATAAACTTTCTATAGATTGTTCTTGTTATATTATTTTCTTCTGAACAACGAACAACCTTTTTTTTTTTCAATATTATTGAACAAAAAAACGACGCCATTGTTTTGTTTCGTCCCAAATTCTGTCAACTTTATGAAAAACCTTTCAATTAGATTCCTAATTTATCAATCTTTGTTCTCATTCTCAATTCTGCCGACTTCAGGGCAAAGTCATTAGAATTATGAAAAATATTTTTAATAAAATTCAACAATATCGATAAGACTTTTTTTGTTATACAAAATAAGTCTATATGCTATTTTCTATCTAAGTAGAGCAGCTACTTATTATTTTTATTTTAAGCATAATTTAGAATATTTTCAAGTAAATCTTAATAAATAAAAAGAATTGTGATGTGTCATTTAGCATTGTATAATAATGCGATCAACAAAACGACTCTATTGATATAATTTATATTTATTTCAAGGCATAAAAACATTATTGAGAAGACATACATAATAAAGTACAATAGAAATAAGAATCTAATGTCTTACTATCGGTTGTGTCATATTTGAGGAAAATATAAAAATGAATCATTTAGACTTATATTTGATATGAATAAATAAAGTTGTTGAAAAAGACTTTGATGATTGAGGTAATTATAAATGTGACAAGGCGTCATCTATGATCTGATAAATCGTTGGTCAAGTTAAAATATGATTTATATCAATGAAGAAAAGTTTAATAATTTATATTTATTATATATAAAATGAAATCGGAATTGTTGGTTATATCTTTTCATTTATTAGCATTTATTATTTTAATGGAAGGACTTTTTCCATATTCATCATCAACAAACAATATTGCTAATCGATCTTGTTTTGATTCTCAAGGTTTTATTTCTTTTAA